AATGTGTGCTTGTGGTTTTTTTCTTTTCGAACGAGTGCAATTTTTGGGAAAGGGGGAGGCGTTTGAACTCAATCCATGAGGTTGGAAAATGTACTTTCAACCAAACGGGTTATGAGACTATGTGCGAAATGTATGCCTGTGTTAGACAATAACAGCTGACTGATAGATTCAGACATTAATTTGATAGTTATGATTAGACAATAAATTGAGGGACTAATTTGGTACCACCCTTACAAGCTGAAGGACAAAACAGCATATCAAATCAAACTTTTTAAATTTATAGTTTTCTATTGGAAGCATTCTAATTTTTACGTTTTTAAAATTAGAAATGTATGCTTTGCGAACTCTTTTGAAAATAACACATCATTAATGCTTTGATGGGTGTCTCAAGTGATCATAAATTGAGATTTTAAACTGAAAATTTTAAATTTAAATAGTGAAATAGATATAAAAAAAAAAAAAGAGTTAAGAGTGTGAATGAATTTTTTTATTGTATAACTTAATGTAAAAAAAATTAATAAGGACACTAAAAGGAAAATTTCTACTATAAATATTAAAAAGTAATAAAACTTAAATGTCCATAGTCCATAGATATCTTATTATATAAAATCTTTTTTAATGGGAAATCAATTAATCCAAATAAACAATGTAAAAATGTACTATATATATTTGTAACAGTTATTTGCGGGGGACAGAGCAAGCAATTAATGGATGAATTATATATTTTGCTTTAGAATAAAAAAGTTGTTTTTTGGGTCACAAGCAGCGTTCATTTAAAGGAAAGCTGCTCTTTAATTAGGGAGATCGAGATTCTTTCTTTTTCTATTACCAAGTTGGCTGATTAATTAGCGTATGATTGATTAGACTGCAGCAATAGGATCACCGAAATTTTCCGAATTGCCAAATAGGGATTGGGATATTGATACACCCTAAAATAATTAATATCATATTTTTTTTTAAATATAGTTATTTATTATATTATAATATTCAATTTTTAAAAAAAATTTATATTTTTTTGTTTCTTAATAAATTAAAAGATATAATGATTAATTAAAATAAAAAAATGTGATATTAATAATTAAAAATGTAACAATAACATCATCCTAAATACAGGATTTAACTATTTTAGTTGAGATTAAAAAAATAAAAGCATTGGAGTAAATAAATTTTTAGAAAAATAAATTTAGATGGTTAAGGTAACTCAATCAATTTTTGCACAACTAAAAACTAATCTTTTAAAGGATTTTTCTAAAGAAAAAAACCTTTTCTAAAAGATTTTTAAAGACGCATCCTTTCATTAAGTCATCAGCCCCAAGCCACCCATGACTCATTAATTCAAATAAAAAAAATTTAGTTTCTATAAGATTATAATTTAAATTTTGTAAATGAAAAGACAAGTGTTGAAAAAATTTCCTTTATAGAGTTTAACCTAACTCAATTTCTTAACCAATTTCAAGTTAAGAAAAGTAATGTAACTTTCGAAAATTAGGAGTTTAATTAAAAAAAAAATCAACCTCAAGCCTAAATTGTAGTTGATTTAGGCAAAAACTTACTTTGAGCCCTTTACCTTAATATATTTGTAGGTTTTAGGCCCTTATCTTATATTATAACTTTGTAGCCCTTTACCTTAATAAATTTGTAAGTTTTAGCCCCTCATCTTATAATATGACACTTTTAGCCCCTTACATATATGAATTGAACAAAATAACACTCATTTAACATCAGTTTATAACGTTCTGTAAGTTTTATTAGTTGATTGTTAACTTTGTTAGTTGACTGTTAGCATCTATTAACATTTCGTTATAGAAAACATGAAATTTAAATTTTATTTTATTTATTAATTCCTTTAACGAAATACTAACGAAATGCTAATAGAGTTAACAATCAGTTAACAAAATTAATAGAACGTTATAACCTAACTTTAAGTAAGGGTTATTTTCTTCAATTTATATAGGTGAGGAGTTAAAAGTGTCGTAGATAAGGTGATCGGTTAAAACTTACAAATTTATTAAGGTAAATGATTAAAAATATTATAAAATAAGGTAAGGGTTTAAAACTTATAAATTTATTAAAATAAAGTGCTACAAGTAGGTTTTAGCCCCTAATTTAACGGTTAAGAAAATTTCTTAGGGCCTGAATTAACTTGTTAGGCTAGCAACATAAATTGGGCCTGCTTTTTTTTTATTGAATTGGGCCTGTATTTAATTAATAATTACGATATATTATATTGATATTAAATTCAAAAGACAGCAAGATGTTCTGCGTACAGGCGGAGTTGGGGGGCCTTAGGGGGCCTTGCCCCCCTAACCTTTTGAAAACTTATAACTTAGATCCCTAAATTTTATTTTATTTATTATTTTTTAAATAATTTTATTATTATTTTACTTATTTTGTATTATTGAATATTCTTTTAAGTGATAATGAAAAAGATGAGGAAAATATAGATAATAAGAAATATGAAAAAAAATAAAAATTAATTGAATGAAAAATTATTCAGCATGTCATTTTATAAAATATTTATAATAAATAACATTTAATTACTTTTCCATTTTTTAGTACTGTTTTTTCACTCATTATCTAAGTTCATTTTTTTTAATTAATGACATTTATATTACTTCATTAACTACCTTTAATTTATCATTGAAAACTAATAAATATCATTTATAATAATTTTTAAATTTTTTTTCTTATTTATCAACTTTTCAATTTACACACACATATCATTTCTTAGTTTCTTCTTGTCCCTTTAAAAAATATTTTTGAGTCCACCACTGACTCTCTGTGTGGTCTAGTCGACCATGAAATTAATTAATAGTCAAGAAATTAAAGATGACTCCACTTTTTCATCATAAAATCCCTCACCTTTCCTCCAAAAAGCCAACCCAATCATCTCCTTGTTGCAGTGATTGCAGAAGCTTAGGGAGAGCAAGAGAGAGATGACGTTGGGTTGTTTAAGGGGTGATTTTCTTTAGAGATTTTAAGGTCGAAGGTCGTATATAGTTGTGATGTGGGCATGCCCCCTGCAGTCCCCAGTTGCCCACAACTTCCACTTCAATTCGGCACTCAATTAGTTTCCCCGCAGAACTTCTTGAAGCATAGTAGTTTCTAAATCAATCTCCCTAGGAATAGGAGCTTGGCGCTCTGGCCTTTTACTTATATCTTCCATATTGTTACTTATTATTGCACACTCACTCTTCTTTTCTTGCAAATGCCAGAGAACATGATATCTGTGAATGGTCAAACCCAAGTGCCTCCGGGATTCCGGTTTCATCCCACGGAGGAGGAGCTCCTCCAGTACTACTTGAGAAAGAAGGTCTCTTACGACAAGATCGATTTAGATGTCATTCGAGATGTTGATCTCAACAAGCTCGAGCCGTGGGATATACAAGGTGATGATTTAGTAATTAGATATTGCATGCACAAGTCTAATTTTCTTATATGGTTCATGATAGACTAAATTGCTTTTTCAGAGAGGTGCAAAATTGGGACAAGTCCTCAAAACGATTGGTACTTCTTCAGCCACAAAGACAAGAAGTATCCAACGGGGATGCGCACAAATCGTGCCACCGCTTCTGGGTTCTGGAAGGCCACAGGCCGTGACAAGGTCATCTACAGCAACGGCCGGCGCATAGGAATGAGGAAAACTTTAGTGTTTTACAAAGGAAGAGCACCTCAAGGACAAAAATCTGATTGGATCATGCACGAATACAGACTAGACGATGATACCGACCATACCACCACCAATGTAATTAGCCACTTCTACGTACGTATATATATGTTGTGACCATGACATACTCATGATAAGAGTGCTAATGCAACATGTTTGTTTTATGATTAAGGTCGCTGGGGAAGCAAATCAGGAAGAGGGATGGGTGGTTTGTCGGTTTTTCAAGAAAAAAGACTGCCACAAGAACCTGGGCAGCCCGATGCGTTCCAGGAACCACATGTTGAATTCGTGCGATGCAGCCCCGGAACAAGCTCTTCATCAATACATGGGAGGAGTTTGCAAAGAGGACTATTCTCAAGAAAACAACAATATCTCGAGGATTCTTCGTCCAATTGATACTGGCTACCCAGATGGAACTTTAATGAAACTTCCAAGCTTTGAGAGCCCCAACTCCGGTTACTCCGCCGGTAGCCAGAACTGTTACCAACCGATGATCATAGACCACGATTGTCCAATCTCAAACCAGGTCAGTAGTGATCCCAACTCCGTTTTCCATATAGACTCAGGCTCGGGTCTCACGAATTGGGTCGAGCTGGACCGTCTCGTGGCCTCTCAACTCAACGGCCAAACAGACACTTCCGGCCAATTGGTCTGCTTTGGTGACCGCACCATGGCCTATTGCGGCCCTACTAATCATCTGCATGATCTCCAATTATCGACCGTTCGATCATCATCCAACAAGTCTGATCAAGTGCCTCCTCAGGATTCAGGACATGGTGAAATAGACCAATTGCATTTCTCCACGTCATCATCATCACCCATGTCATCGTCCGACTCATTAAGCCATGTGGTCAATGCTATGGGTATTACGGGAATGACAACTTAAAATTAGCATACCATAGTTGCTTGGGGTTGGGGGCCCTTGTCAAACCATTATAAGCTTGTTTTGCTTAATTCTAATTTGTATAAAACTATTTTTTTTTTAAAATTCATATTAAAGTGTGGTTTGAATAGATATATTTTGTGATGTTTTTTTCTTTCTGAATATGGGGAAATTTTAAAAAATGAGGGATTTCTTTCAAATTGATGTTAGAAGTTGAATTATCAATTAACTAAACTAAAATACTAAGATTTAAGAATGAACCATTGAGTTCAAAGGTTTGGTTCAATATTTTGTGATAATTTGAATAGAAATTTTATAAAAATATTGATCATGAAAATTCACAATATATAAACAAACTTCAAAAAAAAAAAACATAAAAGCTATATTTTGATAAATTCTTTATGTAATTGTAAAATAAAAAATATGTTTTATAATTTAAATTGCATCAAATTATAAAATATTAATAATTGATTAATAAGAGATCTCCTATAATGGTGCTAATTTTTTTTATTTAATAATTAATATTCTGTAATTTAATATAATTCATAGCACCATAAATCAGTGGACTTAATGTAAAAATTATGGTCTAGAACATAATCATCAAGATGCCTTTACCAGTTTTCAATTTGCCTCTAGAAGGCTAGCGAAGGATAGTTAATCATTTGATAATCCCATCCTAACTGCAATAATAATTGTCGCGTGCTTTAGTTGTATTTTTTTCATTTTTTGTTACTACAATGATAGGTGCGATTTTCCTGTTTTGTTTCTAATTCCCTTTACATCACATGGTTTGTCTCTTATTGTTGAACCAATTTACCTGATCATTGTAAAATGGTAGGATAGGCGACATGATTAGTTCGTAAAAATCAATTAAAGTGAAATTAAACTTTTAATGGACTAATGTAAGACTTTTGTCTTATTCTTCCTTTTTCTATTCAAAGGCATCAACTAAAGTTTTACATTTAATAGTGGCATGCATGACTTATTAAAAGTGTATTAATTTTTTTGAACCAATCCATTTGATTTATTGATTCACTATTCGAGTTTAAATATTTAGATTCAAGTAGATCGAGAGTTTTATTACCACCTACTACTTAAAAAAATATTCCCTCATCCTCCAAATTCCCCCATATTAAAAAAAAATGTATTAACTTTTAAAATTATTTACACTTTAAGTCATAATAAATAGACTCAAACTTGCATCATTAAACAAATTTCACATCTATTTTTATAAGTCAACTTCAATAAGAATCCCTACCATTCTTTTTTGTTTTTATTTCGCACTAATCATACTACTTGAACCTCTTTAAAGTATTAATGTTAGTCTGTTATTGTTTGCTGGCACTAAAAAAAGAAAGAGAAAAATAATCATACTACTTGAACCAACCTGAATCGCATTGCCCTTGATCAACAGATAGTCCAAACACAATTCTTTTTGAAAGTCAAAATTTTGCTTTCCAAGATTCTCTATGTTTTGCTTTAAGCCGCAACAAACAGATTCCATCGCGGAAACAAGGAGACACAAAGAAAGCAACACAAGGAGGGGCAAAGAAGAGAAAGCTGAGAGCCCGAAGAAACGTGTAGATTACGTGTAGATGATGTTTGGGCTGCTTCATGAACTCCTATCTTAGAACTCACAAACGAACTCCAACACTTGTGAAGACCTGAGAAAGTATTGGGGTAGACACTCGACGCTCAAGTTTATAATACTTTATAATCTAAAAAAGAAAAACTCTCAAAAAAAAAATAATTGCAAAGAAAAAAATATAATGAAGTTATTATTTCATGTGGAGATAAATCAGGGTATTTATAACTTTCGTTAATGATAAGGTATCCCATGTGTTGTTACCTATTGGTCCAAGTGTTGCCAATCACGTCGGTGCCTCTTGATAATTGTGCCCACACCATTAAGTTGCCTTTGGGCTGCCCTTGGCTTATTGAGCCCATAGCTAAGACTTAGCCTACTAATTGGGCTCATAGTTAATGTTGGGCTTATCCCCTAACGGGTGGTGTTAATAAAGTAATATAAGCATAAAATTTATACCAACAACCTGTTAATTCGAGTGGAAGAAGTTCGTTTTTTTTAAATAAAATTTTAAGTTCGAGTCTTGTAAATGAAAAAATAGGTGCTGAAGAGCTTCCCCCATATGGAATTTAACTCAACTTGATTCCGAATTAATTAGGATCCAACGTGATTTTTTGATTACGAGAGATTAGTACCAAAAAAATAAACATGAGATTTATGTTTTTTTTAAGTTGATCTACATAATAAAAAGGTAGTTTAAGAAGTGAAATTATTAAAATATTATTAATAAAATAAAAAATATTAATAAAAACATTTTAATAAATTTAAAAATTAAATTACATTTTTATAATGCAGCCTAAAAAATACTTTTATGTGTAGGAAATTCGGTATTAGCATCATTTTTTTTTTTGGGCTGAATTAACCTCATTCGTTTAGTTGGGCTTTCTCAAACAGCTTAAGGTGGTTGGGCTCTTTAGATTTTAGTCCATATTCTCTGGGCCTCTGTGATCAATAAGGCTCTAATAATGGACACCAAAGATTTCTTCTCGGCCTTTGTTGGTTTGTTTGACACCATCAGGGCCAAGCAGCTGAGCCCAAAGTTGGAAGTGATAGATCAATTGACCATCTCACCTTCTATGCTGCACCACCGCTGAGAATATAAAAATCATACTAAGAAATTACTTACTTCGATCTCTTAAAAAAAAAGACCTCTGATCAAGCCTCCTAACCCAAAATTTTCGAGCTCAGAAATTGGCGAGAGGCTTTTATAAACTTGACCATACACAACAGCAATAAATAATGCCAACCAAGAGCCATATTAACCTGTACCAGCTTTAATTAAACAACCAATGTTAGGCAATAGAATTATTAAAAAGTGCTTTATAATTTAAATTGTTTTAGATAATTAAATATTATTATTATTTTTTTAACAAGTTGTCAAGGAACGAATCATGAGAGAAGGAGAATACACCTCAAACTGACAAGTTACCAATTGGTTCGAAGAGCCAGATGCAGATAATTAAATATTAATTACTTAATAAAAATTGGATTTTCTAATATTGAAGCCGTCCATTTATCAGACAATTCCTGTGTCATAATCTGAATCAATTCCTACTTTTACAGGATATCCAAAAAATTATTTCCAGTTTTAAGTTGTCTGCACAAATTTTGTTGGGGAGTGATGGTTCCCATTCTCACTGCCCCTGAGGGAATCTGAGTTTGACTGGTCATACTTACACCAAAAGAAAGCCACGGGACACTGTTTTAAAGAGTACTTTAATTTAGTTTCGGACCACCTGATTCGGCTCATCATTATGTCCTAAGTATAATTAATGTCTTGATATCAAGTGTTAAGGACTGAGGACCAGAGGACCACCCGGCTCCATCCTTCACCTGATCCTCACTGCTAGCACGTGACACCACGAGACCCCTTTACCTGTTTTCCTAAAGATGGAGACAGAGTGAGAAACTCAAAGCTCTTTTTATTGATACAGAATAAGAAAAGAAAAAAAAAGATGAGAGTAAAAGGAAATGCCTTTAGTTAGCCCCCCCCGCCCCTTCCCCCCCAATTAAAGCACATCTAGTTGGACTTGGTAGCTGTGCACCCTCAACGTGCTTTTCTCTCGATATATCCTACCTCCACTCCACTATGTTTCTCACGTTCTCTTTTACAATTTTTATGCACAAAATCATGATCCTATTCATGTTTATTATTCTAGTGCGCTTCATTTAGCATCGCTGCATGTGCACTATCGTGATTGTATATGTATTTGCTCCTGTATTGCCCATGTATTATTTTGTATTTTTTTTATTTATAAGGTTGATCTTTTATTAATAATTAAATAAATAATAGATATATTATATTTTATATAATTATTAAAATATAAAAATTTTGATTCACAATTTAATTATATTAAATTATAAAATAAGTTAATAATTTTAAAATAAAAAAATTTTAATATTAAAAAATTTATCATAATCAAATAAATAATTTAATTTAATTTAATATAATTCAAATTATATTATATATTTTAATTATATAAAATATTAATTAAATTATTAAAAAATTAACATTTTAATACTCCATCTTAATTACCTTTTCGTTGGAAAAGTAAAATCTTCAAATTCATTTAAAAAAAATATTGATAGGATATATTTACTTTAAAAAAAATAAAAATAAATTATCTTTTTAAATTATAAGGTAATATAAATTATTTTTTTTAATGAAAAATGTTAAAATTTTATTTATCAAATTAATATTTTTTAATGAAAAAAGTTAAAAAAAATAATTTGTATTAATTTGTAATTTAAAATAATAATTTATTTTTAATTTTTTTAAAAAATAAATGTGTACTGATAATTTTTTTAGGATAGATTTGAGAGCAGAAGTTGTTGACGTAGTGTCTGACACCCCCACCATTCCTGTTTTCAAGTTTACTATTTACAAATTGGAATGGAATTTACCTTAACAGGGTAGTTGTAGATATATTGAATCTATGCTTTCCTGTTGTGGGTTGTAATGTAACATCATTAAATTATGTCATTCTCAGTACAGTGTTCTTCTCGACTGGTTCCATCATAGAACCGAGAGAGAAACCCATCAATCTGCATCTTTGCCTCGCAAAAATCTGGCTCTTCCTGCCACCCCTTTTGGATGTGTTTTCTGTAGATGTAGCTGGCTGGGTTTAACCATAATTTTTGATGGGGAAGAAGGGAGGAACTTCCTGGTTGACTGCTGTGAAAAGGGCTTTCAGATCTCCTACTAAAGACACCGACAAGAGAAGTAACAGAAGAAGAGAGGACCACGACCATGAAGAAGAAGAGGAAAAGGTTTCTTCTTCTTCTTCTTCTTCTTTTTTTCCTTAGTTCTTATAGAAAATGGGTCTAAAAAATTTTATCTTTGATGTAATTTGTTAGCAGAAGAGAGAAAAGCGGAGATGGATTTTTAGGAAATCCGGGAACCAGGAAGTAGGGACTCAGCAAACCCCTGTAAAAGCTGAGGTTGCGCAGGGGACTGGTGGTGGAGGAAGTGCAGGAATAGAGAATATTGCAACTGCAGCAGAGGAAAGGCATGCCATTGCACTGGGGGTGGCTAAGGCGGCGGAGGCGGAGGCGGAGGCCACCGCACAGGCGGCAGTGGGGGTGCCTCGGTTGACCAGGCCTTCTAATTACGCCAGAGAGCGTAATGCTGCCATTGTTATTCAGACGGCTTTCAGAGGCTATTTGGTAAGCAAAACCAGTTCTCCCCCCAAATCTTATCTTCACTTTCACTAAGAATCGAATCCCTAAACCAATTATGTTGTGGATTTGATTTTGTGAAGGCGAGGAGGGCTCTTCGTGCGCTAAAAGGGCTGGTGAAGCTCCAAGCTCTAGTGAGGGGTCACAATGTGAGAAAGCAAGCCAAGATGACTCTCCGCTGCATGCAGGCTCTGGTTAGGGTTCAAGCCAGAGTTCTTGACCAACGGATGAGGCTTTCACACGATGGAAGCCGAAAATCCACATTTAGTGACACAAATTCCGTTTGGGAATCTCGGTATCTTCATGACATTTCCGACAGAAAATCCGTTGTAAGTTGTCTTTCTAACATGTTCAAAGTAACTTTCTTTTTTGCTTTTCATAGAAATGATTGTCGTGAATAGGAAATTGTTACTTTGAAAAGGAGAAAAAGGAAGAAATTATTAGATTCTTACTATGCCTTTTGGGTTTCAGTCAAGAGAAGAAAGTAGTAGTATTGCAGATGATTGGGATGAAAAGCCACACACAATAGAGGAAGTAAAAGCTATGTTGCAACAGAGGAAGGAAGCTGCACTTAAACGTGAAAAGAACTTATCTCAGGCCTTCTCCCAACAGGTTCATCTTCTTTAATCTCCGGTCCCGAATTCTGTCTTGGGTTTATTTTGAATCTTGCAAGTTAATTTCTCATCTTGGTTTTTTGTTTTTTGTTTTTACAAATAGATATGGAGAAGTGGTAGAAGTACATCAATGTGTGATGGAGAGGAGCTCGAAGATAGACCGAAATGGCTTAATAGATGGATGCCTGCAAAGTCATGGGATAGCAGCATCAGAGGAAGAGCTTCAACTGACCAAAGAGATCCTATTAAAACTGTAGAAATGGATACTTCTCAACCTTTTTCATACTTAGCTCCAAATTATCGTAGAGCAAATTCGAATCAATATCATCAAAATCGACCACAAAACCAAAGGCCTAGTTCACCACTACAAAGAGCTCACCAGAATGCACCCCTCCACCATTCCCCTGTCACACCATCACCCTCCAAATCCAGGCCTCTTCAAGTCCGTTCAGCGAGCCCTAGGTGTCCTAGAGAAGATAGTAGCTATAGTTCATCACAAACACCAAGTTTGAGGTCCAATTACTACTATAACATCAACAACTTGCAACAACATAGCAGAGGAAGTACTAGTGGTAGTGGCAGCAATGGCGCTGCATTGCCTAATTACATGGCAGCAACTGAGTCTGCTAAGGCCAGGATCCGGTCTCAAAGTGCACCAAGGCAGAGGCCCTCTACCCCAGAGAGGGACAGAATGGGATCAGCAAGGAAGCGGCTTTCATTCCCAGTCCCAGAAACCTATGGTGTAGGGATGGGAAATGGAGGTTATGGACATAACCTGAGGAGTCCAAGCTTTAAGAGTGTGAGTGCATCACATTTCGGATTGGAACAACAATCAAACTACTCTTCTTGCTGCACAGAGAGCGTTGCTGGTGAGATCTCCCCCTCTTCAACTAGTGACCTTAGAAGATGGTTGAGGTGATAAGATACTCTGATGAACTACTCTGATGAACCTAATCTTATTTGATTTTGCTCCTTTAAGCTTTGTGATTCAGTAGGTAATTATATATCTGTGTAGGTAGGTGGACCATCTAATTTGATATTTTGATCAAGGCCTTTTTTCCCCTTTCTCCTTCATTTGTTGTTTTAGATTGAAACTATAAGAGGAATATGTGGTGACCCTCCTCATTGGCATATTGTTTCATGAGAATTCATAAGCTAAAGTCATTTAGAGACTCTTCTGACTGTCTAATGTTAACTATTCTGTAATTCTTTTTCAGAATCCGAGTTTGATTCAAGTTCTCCTCCAATCTCATTCTTTGCCTTCGAAATAGAAAATTTTAGATGATTTCAACTACCAAAAAACCTGGTGTTTTTCACATTCTGATGCTTCATTATCCCAACTTCTTATCCCTTCCCATTTTCCATAATGTACAACAAACATATGGACCCATAACAACACTGAAATGTGGTGGCAACGGTCCTGGTCCAATTAGTGGACCCGGCACCCACGAGAGCTGTTGTGAGTTTTATTGCTTTACAAATGAGCATCTCAGTGGACTGTCTGTCAGTGAATGGTTTACTGGATTTTTCTCCATGTCCACAAAAAAGTGCTGCCTTGCAATAATAAACAGAGGAGCCATGTGCCATGATGTGTGCGGGTATCATCTTTTACAGAAACTCATAATGATCATGGAACTCATTACCCACGCTGGATAATGCTAAAAAGATGCAAACTCTGCCTTTGGTTGGGTTGATTTTATTTATGCATTTTCTCTGCATCATCCAGTTCTCACATTGGCAGTTTGATGGACCAATTCACTGCAACTTGAGAATTCCACGATGACTTTGAAATTTGGACAGGTTTACACAAACATATATATATATATATATATATATTTTATGTTGGTTGCATAACGTGAATGAATCCTCTCTCATCTCTTATCATATTTCACTTGTATGTTATATAACTTAAATTCAGTACTCCACGATGACTTTGAAATTTGGACAGGTTTACACAAACATATATATATATATATATATATATTTTATGTTGGTTGCATAACGGGAATGAATCCTCTCTCATCTCTTATCATATTTCACTTGTATGTTATATAACTTAAATTCAGTACTTCTTACTTTCAGTGAAAGAAAATTTCTATTGAACTATTTAGATCATTGGTCAAACATATATTAGTTTAGATGTGTCACGGGAAAAAGGGCAAAATATATTCTTTTCAGTAAAATCAACAAGGCCAAATTGTATATATGACCGTCGAAATAAGGGAACCGAAAGGCCAAAAAGAAACGATGAGTTGACAATATATGTAGTGATAAAAAACATTGTTTAATTTAAATTGTATAATTTAAATTATTAAATATTTAAAATTGTCTTTAATTTAATAATTTGATACAATTTAAATTACAAAATTAAAAGTTCTGCAGAATTAGACATTTCAAGTCTTTGGTTATGTCTCGGGAGCAATTTCACCATTTAATTATATATTTTTCACAATATTACTAAGTGTTTTTTGTTCATGTGCAATCAATCACGCTTCTGTAATTTATGCAAATAACAATTCATAATTTTGATTGGAGGACATTCTAACGTGCAAAGTAATGGGTTATTCTGCTCTCGATACTCTGGGATTGAAGAGAGAGTTTTAGTTTTTCAGAGAAATGTTTGCAACGATCCACTTATGTGATCTGTAGTGTTGTATATATAATATATATTCTTTTATGATTGGTGATCTGACATTAAACTTAAATAAAATTCAAATTTACCTGCCACATGTGTCATTGACTTTAGCTTAATTTGAAAGTGTTGTCGTGGAATTAAATTTTTGGTTTTTTAATTCTTTAAAAATATATAAAATATATTTAATATTTATTTTGATAAAGAAAAGTAAAAATCAAGAATTCTCTATGACATTATGTAAATATCTTTAATAATTTTTTTTTGTATGTTGATTTATTAAAGATATTTAAATAATTTTATAAAGATTTTTGACATTTTAATTATCAAAACATTTTGATTAATATTTTATATATTTTTAAATAATAAAAATTAAAAACTGAAGTACTGATAAGTGTTCTAAAATGAAGCCTTTGTCCATGTAACTATATCATTTCGTTGAATACATTAAAATTGATAATAGGGTGTCTTAACCAATTTTTGCTCCTTTAAAAGAAAATTTTTTTCTCCACAATTTTTTATTTTTTATACATTAATTTCTAAAAAAATATTATTTAAAAAAAATTAAAATTTTTGAGGTTTAACGTGATATGAGAAATTAATTCAGAAAGTCTATCAAAGAAAAATCAAGATTAGATTGAACCATTTGCATTTTATACTTAATTGCAAACATCTTAAAATGCGTGTTTTATTGTTCAATGTTAAGGGACCACGTTGAGACAGGGAGCCATATAAGGACCAAATTGACGAGCGTATGAAACTTTTGGGCTAAAACGCAAATCTGCTAATGAGACGACGTCGTTTTAGGCAAAGAAAACCTGATAAGAACTTTTTACTTTTTAACCGCACTGAAAGTAAGATAATTAAGGGACAGGGTTCGACCGATAATTAAGGGACAATTGATTAGAAAATTCTATGCATTTATTGGTAATTAAATCAAATTCACC